ATCTCATAGCTACAAACTGATGGCTTAAAATCTATCTTCTCCGTCCAGAGTCTTCCTCTAAAATCCAAACTGATTTATCCTAAGAATATTGGCTTGTTCTCCAGGCTACCTAACAAACACCCTCAAATTTTAACAGGTGCCCAGTTGCAGACCTGATCTTGTCCCCATAAACTGCACCTTCTCTGCTTCAGGAAAGAACGTCCATACTTCAGATTCCTCAGACCCAAATACTAGACTCCATTCTTGACTCTCCCTCCCAAATGTATCTCTCTTCATGGCTTTCACTAATTGAGAGACCATTGTCTTTCGCCCTGATTTATCAGAAGACCTTACTGACTGGTAGCCTTACCTCCACCCTATTCGCTCCCTCTCCAACATCCTCAGCTCAACTCAACTGTCAAAATAATCCTCTTAAAAACTGAGGCAAATCAGGTCACAACTTTGCATCCATCCCTTTAAAGCTCTGGGTGCCTTAGAAGACTGTCATCAGTTCAAGGCTTGCCTGGGTGGGATACCCTCTATTCTTACTCCTGGTCAGCGGGATTCAGTTATCAGTGGGCTGTGCTCTCTGCCTCTTTGCTTCCCAGAAGCTGTGGAGGGTAGTGCCCTGCATCTTTGTTGGGATGCTGGCTATACGAACACACATGTCAAAATGAATGGACCTGTACACTTAAATCCATGAACTTCATTTTTTGTACATTGTGTGTCATGATGATACCTCAATTAAAAATCAGATTAAGCAAAATTAACATTAAAGGAAGAAACATACAGATTCTTGAGGACAGCTATCTGCATTCATATCTTGTTTCTGGCATTGCGATCTTGGAGAAGGTAGTAGTCTCTTTGTGTTTCAGTTTCCACAGAAACTGAAAATAGGATAAAAGGGTACCTATTTTATAACAATTTGCAAAATAATCCATGTGGGGTAACCGAGAAATGGTGAGATTATTATATTGCTGTACGACTCAAATAGGAAATTATGTCAACATGATCAGGATTTGGGGACTGAAAAGGACTGTACAGATCATTTGTTAATCTCTCATTTATACGTATAGACTCAGAGACATTAAGTGAATTGCCCAAGAACATACAATAATTTATGTAACAACCTTGGGCTGTATCTCAGGCTTTCTGTTATGATCAACTGAGTGAGGTGTAGCTGAAGTGGGGAACTTCATACTTTTTTTCTGGGATTTGTACAGGACTTTGGGCTGAGTGCTTCACAAGTAAATATGAAGCCGTCAGTAAAATAATAATAATAATAATAATAATGGCACCATATACCTAAGTATATTAAACTGATGACAGCCTGTTTCATATTATAAGTATTTTCATTGATATCTGCCTAAATGATAATTTTAGCAATTTTCTCATCTTGTTCATGAAAAAATGGGAATCTATGTGTTTATAATTTATAATCTTACGCTAAAAAGCAAAACAGTTGGCCTCTAATCACAGTCTTTTGTGTAAAACCTGTGTTTTAAAATTAGTCATATTTAAAGTGGCTAATTGTTAAGACAAAAATAGAATACTACCATTTGAAGGAAAAAAGTCCTTCATTCTGTGGTATTTTCAATAATGGTATTCTCTGAGGGAGTTTGCAAATGATTGCAACCAATTGTGGCTGATTCGTCTCAAGTGATTGCATACCAGAGGGTCTGTCTTTATTTTTATTTTTTATAAATAGTATTTTGTATTTCAGCCCTTGGATTCAAAAACATCACAAAGGCATAGAAAAAGTCCTGTGTCTTGGATGGAAACCCTTGTGTACTTTGGGTCTCATAACTTCAGATTTTTCATAATAAAGAAATAGCTTAACCCTCAAACTGAACATTCCAGCGATGAGTGAATTCAGATGGAAATATCAGTTAGCATGTAATCTGAGGTGCATGTAACCTAATTTTAAATGGGAGCGTGTATGGGGTGCCTGGGTGGCTCTGTCGGTTGAGCATCGGACTTCAGATCAGATCATGACCTCAGTTTGTGGGTTCAAGTCTCGAATTGGACACTGTTCTGATGGCTCAGAGGCTGGAACCTGCTTCGGATTCTGTGTCTCCCTCTTTCTGCCCCTCCCCCACTCACACTCTGTCTCTATATATATCAAAAATAAATAGAAAGGAAAAAAAAGATCAACTTTAAATGGGAGTGTATGTTTTTAACCTTTTTTTATTCTTCATACTTCAAGATGCCTCTGTCAGAACTCAAGTTCTACCAAAGGCGCCTTAGGTCTGTGACTACCCTGTACCTTGAAATAGACTCACGCTCTTTCTAGGTCATTTTATTATGGGAGTTCAACCTCTAGGATTATATATTTATATTTATATTTACATTTATATTTATATTTCTGTATTGCCATCATATCTAAAACTCCTATAACCCTCTCAATTTAAAGGTTCTGAGACATTATTCATCAGTTTTTTGTAATTATCTTCTAGAATTTATATCCTAGGTAACTGACATGAGTAACTTCCAATGACCTGTTGTAGGAGAATTTTGTAACTGATTTGAGAATGCAAACCATAGGTAGCAGGTTAATACACTGTTTTCTTGTACTTCTATTTGTGTCTCATTATTTTCAATTAGAATTATATCCAAAAGAATGTTTACTGTGGCTTGTTAATTTTCTTTAGTGTTCTTTATAGCAGCCACTTGAAGAATGAAAACCAACCCAAATGTTATGCTTTCGGGGCAAGCTCACCATCTGATATAAAATATTTTTCCTGAGCAATAGTAAATAAACTACTTAGGAAAGTGATTTGGTTTATGGTTCATAACAACAGAGGCATTTGGATGTGTCTCTTATTTGGTAGAGCTTTTTTGGCCGTGGATCACATGTCATGAGCGGATATTTGTCTACTAGCTTTCTGAAAGTCTGTTGGCTTACTTCTTTTGCTTTTAAATATGTTCACTTATTTACTTGTTTAATAAGAGGCATGGCCCATGAAAACTGTTGTTCAGTTTATGTAGGTCTCGATTTTTGTCTTATAACTTCAGAGAAACATCTCTAATTAGAAGAATTCAATGACAAATATCAGCTTTAATTAAGTTAATGAAAATCTCTATGAAGAGGAAAGGGTCCCCAGATATAGAACTATATATATATATAGATCTTTATATATCTTTATTGATATATATATATATATATGTATATAGCAATACAGCAATTTCCATTGCCCATCTGGCAGTATAAAACAGTACTATAAAAATTCTGTAAATTTTTGTCCCGAAAGTTGAATTTATTCTCAATGGTGATAATGAAAATGGACACAGCTGACCCTGGATGGCAGTTAACTTAACCACTTGTGTTATAAGAGTTTCTGAGAGGTTCAGGATCAGCCATCAATCATGGTAGATTTTGTATTGATCGAGTAAGTAAAAGATGACTGAATATAAAAGGTAAGGTAACCAGTCTTGTTTGACCATATGAGCAATATGAGTTGGGGAGAACAAGGCAAAAGGAACTCAGATTATTATCTATTCTGCTTTATCTATAAGACAGGAGAGATAACTTTATACCTACCGCATAAAGTTTTAGTGAGCAATAAATTGTGTGTGTGTGTGTGTGTGTGTGTGTGTGTGTGTGTGTATACAATGTATTGATCCATCCACCTATTAGAACTTGGCTTAATGTAGGCATGACATATTTTAGCTATGAAAATTATGTATTAGCTGTCATTCATCTTTCACAAAATATTTATTAAACAGTTTATGTGCACCAAGTACTGTTTTAATGCTTGCATATACCACTGTAGAAAAGACACTAAGGTTCTAGCCTTTTTGTAGATTATATTCCGGCCAGGGATGAAGATTATTAGATTGGTTTAGGCAAGGAATGATGCTAATTTGGACCATTGCAATAACAGTAGAAGTGATGCAAAGTGGCCAGGTTTGGGATATATTGCAAAGGTAGAGTCAGGAAGATTTCCTTAAAAATTTGGAAGGGTCTGAAAGAATAAGAGACAAGACAAAGTTGATTTTGTATTTAAGTTTTATTCATAATTGTCAGAACTTGGAAGCAACCGAGATAGGTGAGGGACCAAGATGTCCTTCAGGAGGTGAATGTATAAAGAAATTGTGGCCCATCTAGACAATGGAATACTATTCAGCACTAGGAAGAAATGAGCATCAAACTCCATGTTTGTCAGGGCCAGAGATAGGAACACAGTAATTGACTATAAAGAGTATGCAGAACTTTCCTGCCCTTCTTCATTGCTTTGGTCACATTCACAAACAAATTTTCATTAGGAAATGTGTTTAGAAGTACCCAGATGAGGGGTTGATTAAAGACCGGGCACTTGAATTAGTTTCTTAAAGCTGTTGTAACAAATTGCCACAACTTTGGTGGCTCAGAACAATAGAAATTTATTTTCTCATCATCCTGGAGGCCTTAACTCTGAACCCAGGGTATCAGGAGGGTTGATTTCCTTCCAGAGACTGAGGAAGAATCTATTCCATGCACTCTCTCCCGGCTTTGGGCGACCACCAGCCGTCCTTGGTGTTCACTCACTGGCCTGTGGACACGTCACTCCAATCGCTGTGTCCCTCTTCACATCAGCTCCTCTGCTGTGTGTCCCCTCCCTTCTCTTCTTTTCTAGGGACAGTTGTCGTTGCCTTTATGGCCCACCCTAAGCCAGGAAAATCTCCTGTTGTGATCCTTAATTACATTTGTCAAGACCCTTTCCCCAAATCAGATCACACTCACGGATTCTGGGTAGACCTATTGGGGGGGCGGGGGTGTATTAGTCAGCTCAGTCTGCCATAACAAAGGACCATAGACTGGGTGGCTTAAACAACAGAAATTAATTCTCTCACAGCTCTGGAGGCTGCTGTCCAAGATCAGTGTACCAGCAGCATCACATTCTGGTGCAGACTCTTCCTGCAAATGGCCACCAGATTCTGGTGTCTTCACATGACAGAGAGAATGTTCTGCTGTATCTCCTTATAAGGATCAGAGCAATACCCTTATGACCTCACTCAACCATAATTATTTCCTTAAAGGCCTCATTGCCAATATAGTCATCTGGGGCATTTGGGCTAAAATATGGATTTTGAGGGGCCTCTAGTAGGGAGCCACTATTCAACCTAGCACGGTACTGTTCATTCATCCTGTGCCGTGGCGGCAGCCTGGACAGTCACCTGCGAGCTGGGACCGAAGCGCATCAACAACACGGACATGGTCTCCTCTTTCCCTGCTGTTTCATCCCTACAGTTTCCTTTTGACATGACACACTGATCATCAGGTGCGAATTATGAAGATGCAGTATAGTAATTTTGGAAACATTTTTTTGTTTAGTTGTCTATTTGCTTTACTCTCTGGGAAAGCCCATCTGTGATATGACCTTATAGTAGTCACTCGTTCATTACATGTGACAGATTGATTGGCTTATTCCTTTGAGCTGGCATACCCTGGTTCTGCTCGGCCCTCCAAGAGTTAGTTCGATGGGTGTACGAAGTTTTTACGTTTAGTGGATAACCAGTATTAAGAAGTTATATCTGTGCATCGGAAAGCCTTTTTCCTGCTGTACAGGTTATCAGTTCTTCCTATAAATACCTTTTCGTGCAATTGTCTGGGAGTATTTGAGGCACCGGTGAAATAAATAGTGTGACAGGTTCCACCAGCTTCAAATGAGTCCCTGCTCAGTATGGTTCGTTATCCCTGCTCGGGAAGGAATTGGTGAGTTATCTGTCTTCACATTAATAGCTGGTTAGTTTCCTAAATATTTTCTTTTGCTTATTTTTACCAGTCTTTCATCTCAATTTTTTTAAATAACGGACATCATGATATCCGCACTAATGAGTCGTATGCAACATCCTGTCATTACCATGTTCAAAAATACGTACAGATAAAGAATAAAATGCAAGCGACGAAAGTCTATTTTAGGCTTTCTGTACATTCCCTGGGAGTCTGAACAGTTGTTCCTACGGCACACGGAGAGTCATGGTCTGATCGGGATGAAAGTTGGTGAGGTAATTCAATTCCGCGTTCAGTTAAAGAAACTAGACATTTCTCACAAAATCATAAATGCGATGTGAAGGCAGATTGAGAACTAAATGGCTCCTGGATGTGTTCTCTGCACAGCTCCTCAAGGCTGTCTGCACTCGGAGATTTTGTCACTCCATCTGCTCCCTGGCTGAGTGACAATCTGCTGCTGCCAGCCCTCTGCTCACCAGCAGGACGGCGAGAATGTCTCCAGGTGCCCGTGGACGCACCTGAGCTCCAGCATCCCTTGACTGAGTTACTAAAAAGTGAACAGATTCAGAGAGGAAAGAGCTAAAGGTGGGGAGATTCGAGGTAAATAGATTTGAAGTGAAACGAAACACAAATCTTACATACTCTTCTGAAATAAATTCTCTTCCACCAAATATTTGGTGCCCGGGAGCCACCCCACAGCATTATCATATTAATAGTGATGCTGAAGGTACACTACTCAAGAATTCACATTTTCTGAGGTACCTATTGCTTAAATTGTTTCCAATCAAGATTTTACTTAAGAATTCTAGGACAGAATACCACCACTTGCTAGTGAAGATGATTATATAATCTCATCTCACTCCATAGCCTGCAGCAAGCCATTTTATCTTAAAATTTCAATTACTTTATCTAAAAAAGTCAGCTGGTTAGATTTGATCTCTCTGTATGTTAAATGCACTAATGAGATTTTTTTTTTTTTGCAGGAGGATTCAATGTCCTCTGCCGATTTAATCGTTCTATGTGAGTTTTAAGTATTAATAAATTATGGAACGTTAAGCCTATAATGTGTTGTAATTTACTTAGATGATTCATTTGAAACTTTGGAACAGGGACTCTTTTGAATACATCTTTGTATCCTACCCACCCCAACCCCAGATCCTAACACAGTGCCTCACAGAGTTCCACTGAATCAATATGAATGAATAGATTTTACCATCTCAGTCTCTAACTACAGTTTCTCAGGGAAAAGGGGAGACCTTGTTTTAAAATTGGGATTGAAAGAATGATGTCACCCAATGAACTGGAAGAAAATCCACCCAAACTGTAGCCGCAAAAGGAAACCATTGCTGCATTGCTAAGTGTTCTTTAAGACCCATGCGAGAATCAAAATCCCTCATTTCCATCTGCACCCGTCTTTTTCCCAAATCTGACACCTCCACTTAACATCAATTTTGTATCATACGCCTTTGTCAACTGTAGGCAGAGGGTTCCGGAAAGTGTCATTTGATTATATCCTTTACAGTTGAGATGAAGACAGAAACTCGCTTTCTCCCTGGCTCTACTGCTTCCAGTTAGATTTCGGACAAAGTCATGCCCAGAAAAAGGCAAACCATAATCCCTTAGTTGTTATTTGAAGATGCCTCATTCCTGTAACAGTCCAAGGAAATGCAATGACAGATATTCTCCAACATGCCTTCTTCAGGACTCATAGTCTGGCTTTAAGAGACATGATGACTTGCTCTTAAAATTATTTCTTTGTGACTAATTAATTAATCCGTACATTAATTCATCTACCGCGTTTTACCCTGCCCACAGGATGGACATGAGACTCTCCTAGCCCTCAAAGAAGCAGTAATTCTGCCAAAGTGTTGAGAAATCCAAACATATGACACAAAATGTAGAAAGGGCTAAATCTACGATTAGAGTAACAATGAAAGAAATGATCACATGTCTTCATTTTCCCCTTGATACAGCACATGGAATGCTCTTGAAAAGAGGGAGGCACTTGTAGAGAGCATAAGGAGGTAAGAATATATTTTAATCATTCTTTCTCAGATCATGGAACTGTGCATTATATATCTATATCAATCTTTGTGTATATATATATGTCTTGATATGTGTGTATATATATTAACCTCTATATATACACACATATACATACATCAAGATATTTGTATTGATATCTCTGCACGACTTAACATGTCATAAAACTTATGTTTGGAAGAATAGTTACATCGGAGAATGGCTGATCTTCTGTTACATGTGATATGATTATTTTAAGTGGCATACAGTTTCACATTCACTCTTTCTATGGATAGAGAAAATGGCTGAACAGAAAGTCTGTCGCAGAGAGAAATAAAAGGCAGCCTGTCTTTTCAGAGAATGATCGGATGCTGACATCTAGTGGCTTCCCAAACCCATCGCCATGGAGCGCTTTTAACGCTGCACACTGCGTTTGCCTGCTGTGTGCCCCAGTCAGGACAAATGCATGCATGGACACGGTTCTGTGTCTACTGTGGTCCTTTATATGTTAAGTTTCTGCCGATATCTAGATAGAATAAAAAACGAAGTGAATCAGACATTCTGGGATCAGTTTTAACCCACATTCTACATAAATCGGAAGGAAGCCCATTTTTCTTTATTATGTTCTTTCTTGTGTAGGAGAATGTCTTTATAAACAGCCTTGCCACTTCCTGATATAGGCCTTTTGTAATCTGAAATAAGCCTCTTGTGAATGAAAATCTTTTGACATTTTTAAGTGCTTCCTTAAATTGCCCATCTGCCCTGCTTTACCACAATAGTTAATATCATACATGCAAAATATGGCTCTGCCAGTTAGCATTACCTTATGTATTTGGTATGTCTTATATGTTGCAGAGTTTCTATTTTTAAAGATATATGTTACATATGTAGCTGTTCTATTGGGGGGAGTTCTTTGTTTCCGCCCTCCCTTCCTTCCCTTCTGCTCTGCACCTTATCATTTTAGCTCAATACTTATGGCTAGTACATTCCACCAAGATTTGTCTCATTTGTTTTCCATTGATCAGCATACATAGTAAAAACCTTATTCTGGAAAGCACATTACACTGAATGCTTTCTTTTTTCTTTTTCTTTTCTTTTTTTTTTTTATCCTCCGTCTTGGCTTCTTTCCTTGATCTCTCTCCAAAAGCCATCAATTTAATGAGTTCGCAAAAAAGCTTCCTAAGCATGAACTTCCTCCTTTGTGGAATAGATTCATTTTTTCCCCCAAGAGGCTGCACAGACAACAGTTTCGTGACAAGAAAATGCAAAGTAATCTACTTGATGTTCTTATTCATGAGTTCTGTCAAGGGAAGCTGTCAGAAACCCAGAGATGTGAGGTGCAGGGAGAGAGGGGGAAGAAAAAAGAAGAGGGAGAGGGTGCCCCTCCCGTGGATAGTGAGGAGGCTGCCGCCTAGTGGAGCCTGTTGGAACTGCTCTGCAAGGATTTGTTCAGTGACTCACCTGGATGGATACCTGAGGGGGGTTGGGCTAGAGCAGCGGGGGGCGGGGGGGCGCCGGGAACCCCTCCAAGTCCCACGTGACCTTTCTCTGCTGCCGCCCCCCACCCTGTCTCGCTCTCACCCCCCAGCCCTGCTCTGCCCCGCCGCCCACCCCCGCCTCCACACCAGGTGCACCCCGGAAGCTGATCAGGGCGTGGGGCCAAAGGAGAAGGTGGTTCGGGTTCCTGAACTCATGCTGAGAGGTGGGACCACTCCGTAGTTAGAACCAGGATTCTCTGCTAGAACCCTCTCCAGGCGACATTTTCCTGAAAATTGTCGAGGCCTTTTAGGAGTCCACGGGCTGGCGTACCTTTGTGTCTTTTTCAAAATTATTTTGCTGTATTTAAACTATTTTTCAAAGAAAATTCCATTATGCTTCCAGTTAGTAAAACTGGTTTTGCTGTCACAGAATGTATGTGGCGTCCGGCAGAAATCCAGAGACGGTTTTCTCTGAATGTCTGTTATGCGGACTCCCACCCCAAAGGGAGGAAGCCAGCTTTGCTGGGGAAGAGGTCACTGTCCCCTCTCAACGACGAACACAGGTACTTCCTGAGACCATCCCACTCCGCCATGTTTCTGTCTCCGGGGAGGATTCGTGCCTTGAATGCACTGGCTCCCCAAGGCCACCTGTGATTGGGGCGCGGTGTCAGTGTGCCTGGAGCCTGGGCCATGTCTCTCGCACACATTGCTTGTCCTAAACTGCTCGGCCTTGGAATCCAGGGATCTGGCGCCCCCAGAGCCTGGGCCACAGAGCGCCCAGCTCCCCCCGGGCTCACGGTGGGGCCTCGTGAGCGCCCTACAGCACTAGGAGAGAGGTGCCCAGGAGCCCTGTGGCACCAGCGTCCCTGCCCACTCCCCTGCTGAGGGTGGGTGACAGCTCAAATTCAGTTTTACCTGGGAGTGAGATGGTTTCCATTTTTAGATGTATTATTTTAATTTTGTATATTATGTTTACTTTTACGTACATTAAAATACAGACAGAAGGGGCACCTGGGTGGCTCAGTTGGTTAAGCGCCAACTTCGGCTCAGGTCATGATCTCACCATTTGTGGGTTCGAGCCCCACGTCGGGCTCTGTGCTGACAGCTCAGAGCCTGGAGCCTGCTTCAGACTCTGTGTCTCCCTCTCTCTCTGCCCCTCCCATCTTATATCCCTTCCCCCTCAAAAATAAAAAAAATAAAAATTAAAAATAGAAAAACAGAACTCTGAGAAATATGCATGCCTTCAGGGGCACCTGACTGGCTCAGCCTATAGATTTTGCAACTCTTGATCTCAGGATCATGAGTTCAAGTCCCACACTGGGCTTAGAGCTTAGCATACAAAACACACACACACACACACACACACACACACACACACATACACAGATATACTCTCATTATCCAGATTTGTCAAAGCATAATGTCACATTTATTGTTTTTTTTTAAATAACACACCAGTTGAGGCTCTTTGTTTTGTCTTGATCAGAATGAACCCCTCTCCCCTCTTTCTCTCCTTATAATTAACTGCTACCATAAATAGAACTGTAGCATTCCTATATATAAATGTTATAATAGATATTTAATACATATTTATGTATTTTTCACACAGTACATAAGTTTCTATAGTTTGTTTTTTTCTTTTGACATTGTTTTAAAGTTATAGCCATGTTAACACATAGCTTTCTGGAATTAACCGTAAGTGTTGTTTTTCGAGTTGTTGTAGTGCTTTTGTCTTCCTAAATTTTTTTCATTTTTTCATTTTTATTTTTAGAGAAAGACACTGTGAGCAGGGGAGAGAAGCAGAGGGGGGGGGGGGGGGAGAGAGAATCCCAAGCAGGCTACACGCTCAGCATGGAGCCTGACACGGGGCTCAATCCCCACGACCATGGGATCTGACCTGAGGCAAAACCAAGAGCTGGACACTTAACTGACTGAGCCACCCAGGTGCCCCTGTTCGTCCTATTAATTGGTACATAATGTACCATGGTTAGAATATTATGTAGGATATTCTTATAATATTGATAACATATTACCTAGATAAGTATATTGTGATATAATTATCCATTCTTTTACTAATAAAGGGTTAGGTTTCCAA